AAGGCACTCCGACCCGAATTGGACAAGATAAGAGCGGATGTAGGCGATCTTGGGCAGCTCAAGTTAAGTACTATTTTTTTTTTTTTTTCTTTTTTTTTTTTTTTTTTTTTTTTATTTTATAATTAAGTTTTTTTTTTTGACCTTGGACTTTGACACTTTAACTGACATGGTGGTCACAGATCACAGATGATTGTTCTCGACACTCGAAAAGCACCAATCAGTCTCGATGAGGAGCCCGCTCGTCCTGTCAAGAGAGCCAGAAAAGAAGGGCCCCTCGATCTCAATCAGTCAGACTACACCACTGAGGAGCTGAGTTTCCACAAACTCCAGGAGGTTGTGGAGTATTATGAGCACATCGCGCAAATAATGCGCTTCCACATCGAGGAGCATCGCATCGGACTGACACGGCTTGACACGTACCTCCAGATGCTCCAGAGACAAGAGCTTGCTCCCTACATCAGGAAAGACTCCAGTGATACATCCAAATCGGACGAATAAACAATGAGCAAGTGTATTTGCCAATTACTATTATCTGTACAAGCTACCTGACTGACTGCATGATGCTGTGTTTTGCAGTGAACTTCCAAATTAATTATGAAAAATTCCAAATAATCGAAATGAATTGAATTACCCAACGACTTGAACTAACTGGACAATATTGTTTTACATATTTTAATGACTCCTTGTCTTTTTGTTTTTTTGATCACCAATCACACATCAAAAATCAAAAGTACAACACGAAGTCACATACCACAAGCTGACACAGGACAAAGAACCAACAAATAACAAATAACAATGTTGCACATACTATTGCATCAGAGCCAGAATTCCCTTATGAATATTTTCAAATTGCTCGACGAAATGGACAGACTATGTATTTCTCTGGTGTGCAAGCAACTAAATACCTTCTTGCAAGGAAGTCTTCTTAATATTCCACATAGCAATGCATCTGCATTCACACTACGACATTTTTTGAGTAAGTAAATGGGCAGGCGTATCTGTCTTTTATTAGACAAAAAAAACCCATCTGACCTGATTGTCTTCTGAACACCTATCTCAATCACAAACACAACACACTCACTACAGAGAAATCAATCAATCTATCATTTCCAAGCAGTAGTGGCAACAAAGATGGATATTTGGGTTACCCAAAGTATTTTGTAACTCGAGATGTTCATCAGACATACGTCTCTGATAATGGAGAGATTACCGCTCTCCAAAACACTGTCGCAGAGGTCGTGCTCGATATCGAGAAGCCCTTCCAAAATACCTTCCCCAAAGGACTCACATCCTTGAATTTTGGAACACAATCTTGTATTGAACAACCAATTACGCAAGGTCTTTTTCCCTCCTCAGTGGCCAAGCTTAAATTTGCTTCAATTCACAATCAGCTCATTCACCCAGGTGATCTTCCATCGTCTTTAACCAAGCTATCTTTTGGCAAGCATAGCAGTAACAACATTTTACTGCCTGGATCTATCCCCCCATCCGTTGTATCACTTCAACTACGCGGCGAGTTTAGTTTGGATATCAAACCGGGCATAATCCCTTCATCTGTTACACAACTCGATTTTCGCGCTGGACAACAGTTATTGCCAGGTTGCATTCCCAGCTCTGTTACAGACTTGACTATCGGCAAGAGAATTGACCTCTCTTTGTCTACAGTTTACATTCCATCAAGTGTTGCCACCTTATCCGCGACAATAGTCGATGGTGGTGAGCCTGCGCCTGGGGTGCTTCCCTCCTCAGTCAAACTTTTAAAGCTTCGCTGGTTCTCTCCAAATCACATTCCCCCAGGATCAATTCCCTCTTCTGTTTTTGCATTGGAATTAGAGTTTAATCCCAAGCAGAACTTCCCAAAGGATGTCCTCCACGGTGTTCCTTCCTCAGTGACACATTTGCTCCTTGGGAATCGATTTAATCAAAAAATACGCCCCCAATTTATCCCATCCTCAGTAACAAGGTTGGAATTTGGATATCATTTTAATCAACATATTCTTCCTGGGGCATTACCATCCTCACTTACAGAATTAATACTAGGCCTGTCTTACAACCTTCCATTGCTCAAAGGTTGCATCCCAAACTCTCTCATCAAACTATCATTTAACAGCAAACATGGTGTTTACAATCAGCCATTCATATCTGGAACTTTACCTCATTCGATGACAAACCTCTGCTTATCATATCAATTCAATCAGCCGCTTCCACTAGAGTCGATACCATCAGTCACAAAATTGACTCTTGGTGCAAAATTCACAGGCAGATTGGACCATATCATCGATCAACTCCCCAACCTTGTCACCCTCATCATCCAACGCACCTTATCTTTACCAACTCCGTCACAAAGGAGAAGGATCAAAGAGATCATTATAGCCAGAAGCTTCGAGTCACAACCGACAGTATTTCTGCACCCATCCCACTTCATGCTTAATCCTCCCCCCAATCTCATCCTAGCACTACAATCAGCCCTGACTGTTCGAGTTGCAGTCAAATACACCGACAAAAAGAACAGTACCCACCACAACAAAATGTCATCCACCATCACCTGCAGAATGATTGACAATGACACAGTTGTCATGTTTTCCAAATTCCCTTTTCATTTTGGATTCTATCCAGCAGAAACAATCATTAATCGAAGAATCATTGTCCAACAACACCACTAAACAAACTATTAAACAATTTTTTTTTAGACCCAGAGACAACATGTTTCAATTCTCTTCCAAGAATTTGAACATAACCATATCCTATCCTGCCTTGAGAAGTAATAAGTACAAGGTGCTCTTATTTATAAGAGCAACTTAAAAGGGAACAAAAGAGCCAGCTTGTACAGCAATCAAACATTGTCATACCACCATAAAGACAGGTGTGTTACCACCCACTATCAGGCCTGAGACAATAATGTGGACGGACCACCTAGATAAAAAGGACAGGTTTGTTGTGTATATAGGACAACTATTTCCATCGTTGATTAAGAGGGCTACGTTGTGTACGTTATACGAATGAGTCTATTTATTGTGTTGATTGGTTGGTTGTTGTCGTGGGCTTCACGATCATGTCCTTCTCGATCATGTCCAACAGGGCACACACTCTGGCAATGGTATCTTTGATCATGTCACTGGTCCACCTAAACTGAACCTTGACGGGGTGCTGTGATGTTTGCAATAGGGAGATGATCTCTCCAAAGAATGGCAGTTCTTTAAACTTAAACTTTAATTTCGAAAAGTGGCGCGCAAAAAAGAGTTGTGGCTGAAGGTACCCATCAGCTTTGGTTGTCGTTTGTTGTGGGACTTGGATTGATATACAGGCCGACAGAGGGCAGGACACTACTAGTTCCTTTTAATGGTCTTATATCCGGTGATCAATGACTCGTAGGCGTTCTTCATGAACTTGAATGCTTCTTGTATGCGAGCTAGTTGCTTGGCTGTTGTGCCTTGAGTGTTCTTGTCTGGGTGCAGGAACAGCGAGTATTTCTTGTAGGTCTTTGAAAGGGCACTAATTTCGTTGGCTGATCTGTGGTTGAAGGTTGGTAAGGAAAAGACTCTTAGTGCGTTGTTGTCCTTTAACATGAGCATCATGTGGATTCTTTGGATGAGGATGTCCTTTTCTAAGGTGGTGGTGTGATTGATTATATTAGATGGCTATATGGGCCTTGGGCCTTGTGCCTTGTGCCTTGTGGAGGGAGAGATTTGTCGCACTGAGTACATACCCGACATGGGACGTTCCCCATATGCGCAGATCGGATCATTGTCCGGTTTGTCGTCATCTTTATCAGCATCATCATCGCCATGTTCCGGTTCGTCGTCTGTATTGTCACTCCCCATGGAGTCTTGATCAATTGGTGATGAGTGGTTGTTACAACTACTGTCGCTGCTCCCCTCGTTTGGCGATGGGGCCGGTTGTTGTTGTTGTTGTTGTTGTTGTTGTTGTTGTTGTTGTTGTTGTTGATGTTGTTGTTGTTGTTGCAAGGGCTCTGTGTGTTGATTCGAAGTAGGTTGCGTTGATCTACCATGGCAAGTATTACAAAGCTTGATGAACATACGGACCCTAACGTTGATGTCTGTGTAATAAGTGAGTGTGGGTATATATACCGAAGAGGATGCCGATCATCGAGATGTCGCACATACTGTTAATGGTGTAGAGATGAGATATTGATGTGACAGTGGCCAGGACACCTCTGTGAAGGAGAACGCCCTGTCCCATGTGATGGATTCTGATGATGTCATCCACATCATCTTCTCGTGGCACAAAGGTCTTGTTGAGCTTGTTCCATACAACCTGCTTGCCGTTCAATGGCCTCAGCTCGTAGTTAACAACATTATTCCTGAAGTATTGTGTACCTTTGTGTCCTGTGCCATCGAAATAACGATACAAGGAATCACTATCCATTCTATAATAAGGCTTTGGTGTTGAAAGCAATAAATATTTATAAGTTGTGACTTATATGTGATGAAATTTATATGTGATGAGATTTATATGTGATGAGATTTATATGTGATGAGATTTATATGTGATGAGATTTATGTGTGATGAAGTTTATATGTGATGAAACTTATATGTGATGGAATTTATATGTGATAAGATTTATATGTGATGAAATTTCCATTCTCGCTGACCCTCTTCCACAATAGGTTAGTCACTAACCCATCTTCCCTTATTAAATTTTCCCAATTATTTCAAACTTGTGTTGAGCATATATCCAACTTCAATCCTCCAGCCCACGCCTTTCTCAAGCATCCAGTGGAGCATGGACGGCTGTATGCCTTCAATCCCATGATCTCTAACAAGAGTATGTATCTCTCTGAATGATTACACAGGTGGCCACCACTCACTTTACTAACTTTGTCGTTCATACTATTCAGGTCAACTCCTCTCTAGGTTCAAAGACACTCAAGGCCTCAACACTGTGTTGCTTACTGACCTAGTCGAGACGACAATCAAAGAGATGGGTTTGCAACAGTTGGTACGCACTCTAGAAGTTACACCAGAAGGTCACTACAAAAGTTGCGTTAGGGGAATCTCCAAATTGATCACATCCAAGTTTGGAATCATCACCGTCTCCATCCAAAGCCATCACTCTGTCATGTTCACCATCACTGCCAACGATCGTGCCTATCTTTTGCATCTGGATTCTCTGTTGTTTGGGTCCCACAAAGACTACGCAAACAACTTCTATGATGATTACAAGAATGTTGTCAAGAAGAAGAAGTATGAAGCCATCCCCATCAAGACCCTACAGAATAAGGTGCAGACATGTAATTGGCGATGTGGACTCTATGTGTACAAGTTCGTAAGGTCCTTCCTCAGCATGATCGCATCAACAGATAGCATTGGTGAGGATCATTTGTGCCAATACCTCCAATCGATGACAAAGCTGAAGTGCAGAGATGCTGAAGACTTTGACAATGTTGAACAAATCATTCAAATGTACACCAGAAGTTATCGATCAACCAAGTAGATATGTTGAATGTATATTCATTAAATTTCACCTGTAACATATTCGTCTGTGTTTATCTGTATGAACGAGTGATTATCTGTATGAATGAATGATTATCTGTAAAGAATATGATACTGACCCTCTTCAGAACCACCCACACACCTCTTCACCCACACCTCTTCAGAACCACCCACACTCACCACCTCAATAAATGTTTGCAAAATTGTCAAAATTGACCTTTCACCACTCCTCGATAATCAGGAATATCTTTATTGATGAACAAGTGCCATCAAATGGCATTTCCTTGCCTTTAGATATTCATTTTAGAGTCCGATGGGGGTATGGAGGTGTTCGACTGTCTGGTGAAGTGTGTATGGCAAAGTAGAAAGACGTTTGCTTTAGGGTGATACTTGGTCTTGCGCTTGTTCTTGATGAACTCTTTGAGGGTGATCGTGCTGTAGTTGTTGCCATCGTAGAGTTCGACATACACTTCAGCGATGTCTGAGGGTATATTTTGACCATAAAAGGCAAAACATTGGTCCACAAATGACCCCAACCCCACTCTGGCGCCACATACAACAAGCTGAGCAACTTCACACATTCACACAATCACTCTAAACAAACATTATTTATTATCTACACGTAGAAGACATAGTTAATGTCGAGTTATGTAATATAGATATGATTCAACATAAGTATACATAACACCACCAGACTGATCATTGTCACCACTCATATCAATGTTTATTAGCACTTTTCTTTGTTGTAGTAGTTGTTGTTGTTGTTTGTGTCGCCTTACTCTGGGTGGCTGTCATCTTGCCCTTGTCCGTCGCTACTCGCTGCTTGTTATTGTTGTTGCTGGTGTTGTTGAGAAGTAGTGACAACCTTGTTGGTTTCTTTGTTTGTGTAGTAGTTGTTGTTGTCGTGGTTGTCGTACGACTCTTCTTTGTCGATGTATCTGATATAGCAGTGCATCCCATCGCCTTTCTCTTCTTTGATGTCATTATTGGAGTGGTCTCGTCCACGTTTGCAATGTCATAGATGCCTCCAGAAGTGTGATGGTTGTCAAGGAACGATGCCAAGTAACTGTCGAGCACAGAATCAATGACCTGCTCAGGCTTCTTTGACTCCAGTTTCTTGATAATGCCACGAACTTGTTGTGTACACTGCCTTCCTCGGAAGCATTTCCACCTCTTGATAACATATCCAACAAAGAAGATTGACCAAAGACCACAACTCCATACATCTTGTTGGATTGTTCCAGTGTTGGAGTACAGCACGAACCTATCATCATCATCTGTAACCGACTCGTTGTACTTGTTGGTGATGGATTGTGCAATGGACTTATGCATGTTCAAAGAGTCCAAGTGAATCAGACACCTTGCTTGTTGGTGGCCAATCAGTACAGAGTGATGACTTCCAGTGGTCATGATCACATATAGATATGCATTGTTGTTGGAGCTGGTAGTTGAGGTGCTGGTCGTGGTCGTTGTAGTGGTTGTCGTTGTTGTAGTAGTACTGCTGCTGCTGCTGCTGCTGCTGGTGTTTCTGGTGTTGTTGACACCATGCTCGCTGTCTGATGTGTCAATCTCCATTTCCTCTAATAGTAGACATTCATCGTCGTTGTTACTATTGTGGTTGCTTGTGTTTGACATTGTTGGTAGTGGAGCAATAGAGTTCTCAAAGTGTGTAGTCGGTGGTAGCTTTGTCATCATTGATCGGATCCTGTTTGCAATATCAACAACATCAAGATTGCTTGTCATAGGTGTATGAAACAAGTCATTCCTCACAGCAAGGATGGCCAAACGCTCCTGGATACAATCCTGAACAAGGTTGTTGGAGATACCATGTCGCTTTTGAATGGATGCCTTCACTATTGTTGTGGGGATATCATGGTGTAAGTTGTTGATCATGTGTTTGGTTACTCCTTTCGAGCAGGTGTGTGTATATATACCTTTGGCCTTGATCTCTGGTAGGTCATCATAGGTGAATGGAGGAACATCAGAGTCTATCAAGTCACGGGCAGAGCGGCCAGTTGGCAACTTTGTGACTTCACAATCCCAAGGTGCGAAGATGCCCTTTAGATCGTTCACAGGATAGCTCTTGTTGGCATACTTGCCATCCATCACCTTGGCCGTCAGTCTTTGCTTCCCACCGACAGTATTCAAGTGTAGCGTCGATCGATAGTAGTGTTTGACTTTAGGTACGTGGAATAGACAGACAAGACCATCTCTTACTTGGCTACTATTGATTGATTGACACTCTTGAATGATGTGCTCTATGATGTTGGCCTCGGAAATGCCTTTATCAATAACATAGTCATTTCCTGTCTGAAATAGATATGTCCTCCTTTGACCTTTGACACTGTGATCATTGATTGGAGTGTATGTGTTAGTGTATGTTGTCTCTCTCTCTACATGATGTCGGACTATAATACAAACCAGAATCGAATGTCATAGGTCACATTCTCAGGGTCATAGCCAACAACCTCACCAGGCCACCAGCTCTTATAATCGTCGCCTTCTTCGTTGGTCATTGCCGTTACCATCTGATTCAACTTGAAGACAGTTGGGCGTGGTGGATGAGACAAGTCGTCAGGCTCCAGGCCAAATGTAGATCGGAAGGCAACGTCGGCCATGTAGTTGTTGATATGGCCCTTGATGTGTTTGTTGTAGTTGTCCTCATAGAACTTCCTCGAGTGGCTCACATAGCTGGCAAGTGCTACTCCATCCTTTCGATAGATCTCAATGAGCTTGGTCATGATCATATCCCTGGTCACCTGTTGCTTGCATATCTGTCCAGGTCGTCTCTGTTTGTTGGATGCCTTAATGGCTGTGTTGTTGGAACCATGCTTGGCTGTAAGGTTTGGGTTAACAATTAGTCCAAAATGGTCGCAGAGCATTGAATGAATAGTGATAGTACTAACACATGGCTTACCTTCAGATGCGATGTTACACAACATCATTAAGCAGCCGTACAGCTCCATATATTCGCCAGAATGATGTATGAAGATGTGAAGATAAGAGGTAGGTTCAATGTTGTAAATATTGATTAGCAATCTGCCAAACCTCTCACACAACACTCTCCATTGATAGGACTTGATGACAATGGTGTGATCGAGTAGCAAGATAACCAACTTGTATATCATCTCCCAGAGTCTAACTACATTGGCCTTTTTGTTGTTGTTGTTGATGATAGTATTAGTTAATGCACTCAATCAATCACTCACTTGGAGCCTGGCGATTGTCTTACTCTCTCAGTTTCATCTTCAATGAGATCTGTGAGTCCATCTTCCCTCCTGACCATGACTGCAAGCAATTGGAGACATTGATGAAAGGTAGGCTTGGCTTGACTGAATCGATACTGTGCAGGCATTGGTACTGATTTGCCACGTCTCGTCCAAACAGTACCCTCTGGCTTCATCTTTAGGTTGCATCGCTTGAGCAAGACGCTCGATTGTCCTCATTGAGTTGGACAGGACATTTCGACCTCGACCAAGGCGCCAGAGTGATTGCCCATCATTTACTCTCGGAAAGAGTGGATATCGAGGAAACTATTGCAAGCATATCGCCATGGTGTGTTGGAACCCTTTGGTCAGCTCTTTGCAACCAACTTTGCACGACAAGCACTCACTCAGTGCCAGAGAAGCGAGTTGACGGACAAGATAACAGCATATTGTTTGGACAATCAACACATCGTTGGAGACCGCCTTAATGTTACAACATCCGTTGCGCTGCAGTGCGACACCTCGACTCCTCCTAGTCTTCCCTACACCACCAACAGAGAAGAAGAAGAGAGGAAGACCAAAAAAAGAATGTCCCAAGTGCACCAGCCAATCCAGCCATACCATTAGACCCACCCACTGTACCTGCAGGACCAGACAGACTCTCCACTGCATCAATTGAGCGATCAGCTCAGCCGAGATCACCATCTGGCGACCCCACTTTGTTTGATTCAACATCAACCAACTACCCTACAACTCAAGATATAGAAAGCCCAACTCTCAAGCTATCGAATGATAGGCCTAAGAAAAGACAAAAAGATTATTAAACATTCCTTGTGTAACTTTTGATCATAACCTGGAGAACAGAGTGTAGATAGGTATCAATTAGATTAAGATCAACTTGGCGCCAACACCAATAAAAAAACCTCTTCGTTATTAATATTAAAACAAACTATTATTTATTATTATTATTATTATTATTATTATTATTATTATTATTATTTTATTATTATTATTATTATTTTATTATTATTATTATTTTATTATTATTATTATTATAATTCAAAAAGATAACTCTTACAAAGCTCTTCATAAGCATTATTCAATACTTGAAAGTATGATGTGAATAGGACTTTCTCTTCCATACTATTCTTATCGGGGTGAACCAATAGAACGTACTTCTTCTTGAGCATCTTTAGCTCTTCAAATGTTGGGTTTGACGTCAATCTAAAGATATTGAAACAGTTCTGGCCTAGCCTAATACTCCACATCAATCTTTCCTTCTCGGACATGGGTCGTACTTGGATAAATTTAACGTCATCCTTGTTGTTGTCGATGATGGGTACCTCGTCTTGATCTTCTGGTTGGTTATCAGTTGGCGGGTCATGTTGTGAGCTTGTGTCCTCATCGTATTGAAGCAGAAATCTGTCTTCAATTGGTGAGTCTGCTTCATGTTCAACCTCCTCCTCCTCCTTTCGATTGTTTGAAGACCGAACCACGATACCACGCGCTGCGCGACGACTGGCACGAAGACTGGCACGAAGCTTCGCCATGTGCAGCCTGTTATTTTCAAGGACCTTTTCTTTGTGCTTCTCTCTATATCTCTTTGATCGTTCTACACTATTTTGTTTCTTCCTTTCATTCGATACTCTTGGTCTTCCTCTTCCTCTCTTTGTATCTGTATTATTATTCATAATGTTAAATTAACTAATGAAGTGAGAGATGAGGGTCACTTTTTAAATTTTGATAGTGTGTCACGTTTAATTGTAGAGTGTGTCACGTTTAATTTTAGTGTGTGTCACGTTTAATTAAATGTTACCCATATAATAAGAGCTTGGTTTGGTTATCCCACCGAAGGAGGCAAGCACGCGGAGCCGCGACGAGGTGGTATGACGAATCAGTAGTGTAGTGCAGCAAACCAATGTTTAAGTTATATTTATATTGTTGTTATGTATTATGTAGGCGTAGGGTTTGATTGATGTGATTCCTATTGTATTCTTATCTTATTTTGTCGGTTGGTAGGCTGATCGTTGATTGTTGATTTTTGTTGGATGAGATTGTTGGTAAATCGCCTCTGAAAGCCCATTGTTGCCATTTTCTGCTATCATCGCAAGACACAAAGAGAGGGCGGTAAACACCGTCGTAAAGGAACGTATGGAGGCACATGTTTGTTCTTGTATGAACAATGGTAAAGTAGCTAGTTCCAGTGACTGGTCGGATTTCCAAATAGGTCGAATTATCCGAGACCGAGACTATCGACGAGTAGATGGCGTCGTCTTTGATTTTGAGCATGACATCGGACATGATATCTCCTGGTATGATCATTAATGAAGTATTATTGTGACATCAAGGATATACGTTCCCAGCTTTGAGCAGAGTCACCACTTGTGCAGGTTCTCAGTTCAATTGGATGGTCAATGCCCTCGAATGATAAACAATATACGTTTGGAGAAGCTGGCAATGTGATGAACTGTGATTTCAGAATAGGGCCGGCGAGGTTGATATTATAGTTCGTGTAAGATCTTCCAAGAGGGTCAACTGGAACAAACATTGGATCACATACATAAACTTCATCACATATAAAAATTTCATCACATACATAAACTTCATCACATACATAAATCTCATCACATACATAAATTTAATCACATACATAAACTTCATCACATATAAATTTCATCACATACTTACTTATTATAGCTTCACTATCACAACTACATTTTATCATGGACAGTGATTCCTTGTATCATCATTTCGATGGCACTGCACACAAAAAGTACAATACTTCAAGAAGAATGTTGTTAACTACGAGCTGAGACCGTTGGACTCAACAAGACCTTTGTTCCAAGAGAAGATGATGTGGATGACATCATCAGAACGCAAGCGATGTGTTGCAACAACTACAACACTCGTTGATCATCAAACAAACATTAATAACAACAATATACGTGTATATGTTTGATTATATCTGTTTGAGTGATGAAGAATGATCACTCTCAATCACACTCACACACCTTTAGACTCAAAAAAAACTTAGGGTAAGTTCGGTGCAGACTATTTGTAGTGGTGTACCCCTCATCACCAATTGATCAAGACTCCTTCAGAAAAGGACATTCTCATCCAAAGAATCCACATGATGCTCATGTTAAAGGACAACAATGCACTAAGAGTCTTTTCCTTACCAAGTTTCAACCACAGATCAGCCAATGAAGTTAGTGCCCTTTCAAAGACCTACAAGAAATACTCGCTGTTCCTGCACCCAGACAAGAACACTCAAGGCACAACAGCCAAGCAACTAGCTCGCATACAAGAAGCATTCAAGTTCATGAAGAACGCCTACGAGTCATTGATCACCGGGTATAAGACCATTAAAAGGAACTAGTAGTGTCCTGCCGTCGGCCTGTACATCAATCCAAGTCCGACAACAAACGACAACCAAAGCTGATGGGTACCTTCAGCCACAACTTTTTTGCGCGCCACTTTTCGAAATTAAAGTTTAAGTTTAAAGAACTGCCATTCGTTGGAGAGATCATCTCCCTATTGCAAACATCACAGCAGGATAGAGATATGTAATACAATAACACATACAAAATGTTGGGAGTAAACATGCGAACAATGGAGCAAGCCTATGACTATGGCACCTTTAGTGAATGGGAAGACGACGACTTCTATGAATGGACCACTGCCCTGTTTGACGAGGACACAACAACAGTGTTGAAGCAACAAAAGGTGGACGCCGAAGTGTTCTGTATCCTTTCAGATGATGACCTCAAAGAACTTCACGTCGCATTGGGAACAAGGAGGAAGATTGGCCAGGTCCAAACAATGATCAAGAAGGCGATGGGTGACCATCAGGTGATGAGCAACCCAGATATATACACCCCCGTCAAGCGTGCAGAGGTCAACTACAAGAATCAACTACCGACGGAGAAAACCATAGCAATCAGTTCGTTAACTAGCACTCATATGCACAGTCAGGGAAAAACTGGTTTGCTCGATCTCGATACGACCAACTTCATCCCTGACACTGATGACCATGTCGATCTCTGACTTAAAGCCTTGAATGGATTCATCGACGCAGGCTTTCATCTCAATGCATTGAACGAAGCGACCAGGAAGATCCATGTCAGTCTCTTGCTATCCAGGTCTTGTCTCATCTTCAATAGGTGCAACAAACCAAGCGGTGGACCACCCATCGCTCGCGTCTCTGCCGAATCCCCACTGAACGCTTTCCCTAGCACAGTCCTTCAAGGCGTTGCGGATTACATCATCTTTATCAGAGACATACCTCTCTGTGTGATAGAGGTCAAGCATCAGCAGTTCGACAAAGGATCTCGACAGGTCATTGGAAGCGCACATCACATCTTTTTGTCTCGTGGACGAGACATCAAAGCTGTCTATGGTATCTTGACCGATGGCATCACGTGGCAATTCCAACAAGTACTCCCGGACGGTGTTGTCAATGTCACGACGCTTGTGCACCCCGTCAAGGTTCAGTTTAGGTGGACCAGTGACATGATCAAAGATACCATTGCCAGAGTGTGTGCCCTGTTGGACATGATCGAGAAGGACATCATCGTGAAGCCCACGACAACAACCAACCAATCAACACAATAAATAGACTCATTCGTATAACGTACACAACGTAGCCCTCTTAATCAACGATGGAAATAGTTGTCCTATATACACAACAAACCTGTCCTTTTTATCTTGGTGGTCCGTCCACATTATTGTCTCAGGCCTGATAATGGTAACACACCTGTCTTTATGGTGGTATGACAATGTTTGATTGCTGTACAAGCTGGCTCTTTTGTTCCCTTTTAAGTTGCTCTTATATATAAGAGCACAGAGCACCTTATATGTACTTAATTTCTTCTCAAGTCAGGACGAATGGTGTTCATTTTTGGTAAGACAAATCAGAGATTATTGTTTATTGGACGACAAGTGTCATCGATTTTTTTTGTGCTTGGATTGTTTGAGGAGAGATGATGTATAAATGTGAGTGCTTTTGGCACACCCACAACACAGTGTCGATGTCAATCAGCCTGCATTCTATATGGTAGGAAGAAGGTAGACGCAGGATGATAGTGTTGGCATACTTGAGAAAGTTCCAAAGATAGAAAACCACAGTTGAATTCATCATTGCCATTGATGAGCAACGAGATGAAGACGAAGATTGATAAAACTCCAATGTGATTTCGTCGAATTTCTTTAGAGGTACAAATGTTGGCAATGTGACCATGGCAAATGGGGTTGGTATTGTTAAACTCTTGATGGAACTCTTGGCTATGTGTTGAGAGTCTTTGATAAAATGATTGAGACCCAGTTCCAAACTCATGAGCGACGGTGGAAAGGATACTGAGTGTTGATATGCAATGATCTTTCTTTATCGTTCGTACCTACATTTGCTGACATCAATCAGTATAGTGCCGAGATGCAAAAAGCAATGAGCAACACCAAAACTGGACACGTACAATATACAGACTACCGAACCGTAATCGACAGCGACAACAACCTAGGAACAAATTTTAACACGCCGATAAGGTTTGATTTCTTTGCTCCAAACTTCATGGCACAATCCTCTGCTCCAAACATCAAATTCTTTGGCATGGAGACAATGCGCTCAACGGTACCACGACCTTTTATTTTATGTTGGACTACTGGAGAAGCAATCCTATTACCTACCGGTACTATACTGCGCTCCAACGAAGCTCTCGTGGCGATACAATTTGAACGAAGTTTAGCATCTGACGTACAAAACTTCAACGACTCTTGCCCAATCCTCCTCGAAACCTTTCCTCATTGGTATGGAAAAGACCGTATTAAGTGGTCGGATTACAAATTCGATGATGTTTGTTGCACCGTCCCAGGCTTGCATCCTTCGGACGAGTGTCCTTACCCTACACCAACCCTCTGCTCTGGCACTTTGAAAATTGGTATTGGATATCAACAAGACACCACAAACTTCAACTTACAGCAGGACTATAAGACAGATGACACGTACCCATGGTACCAATACGCTCAACAATCAGGTTATCTTCCAGATGGCTCAGCAAATCTAACAACCCTAAGACTCTCGAACGAACCAAATGGGTATGCTCAATTCAGGGTTGATTGGGTATTGGCTTTTACCAACTTGCAGAGCACTACAGAGCCATCTTGGAAGGTCAACGTCACAACCTATAACGTTAAAACCAGTCCTCGCGATTTCACAGCAACTACAAACTCTACAGATACATATGACCTTGTGCCCCTTTTCAATGGTCCAGACAGTCATCTTTATTCCTTCCCAAACTATAACTATCCCATCAATGGTGGTTATGGCTATGTGCTCAACGACTTCAACTTCAATGCTCCAAATCCTCCTGCCAATTTCCTTGAAATGGATTCATAGTCCCCATCCAATCCACCACCTGTCCCATTTCACATGAGAGAAACGAACACTACTACATACAGACTACAGACGAACGTCATATAATCAATATATACAATACAATAATATAAACGACAATACAATTCTACAATTCATCATTTTTTAATAATAAATAACTGGCTAACTAAAAATAAATTGTGGACTTTATTTAGATAGGCTAAGCGCAGCACGCCGGCTACGAGGGTGGCAACAAAGTATAAGTAATAAAAATGTTGATCGTATGACGTATGTTACGTATGTTATTCGATAGGCATAGGCATATATCCTGTGTCTAAAATGCTCAATGCTTGGCTTGATCAGGTTTTTGACGCTTATTATTAATCGCTCGCCCAACGCACGCCCCCCCCCCCCCCAAGAAAACAGTCTGTGGGCTGG